TGGGAGAACTAAAATTTGGCAAAATTGATCAGATGGAACTTGTGTGTGATAATCAAGCGGCTCTTCATATCGCATCAAATCCAGTGTTTCATGAAAGGACTAAGCACATTGAGATTGACTGTCACTTTGTCAGAGAAAAGATACTCTCGGGAGATATTGTTACGAAATTTGTGAAGTCAAATGATCAACTTGCAGATATCTTCACCAAGTCCCTCACATGTCCTCGTATTAATTACATCTGTAACAAGCTAGGTACATATGATTTGTATGCACCAGCTTGAGGGGGAGTGTTAGAATAGAAATAAGTATTTCCTACTTAGAATAGGAATAGGAATAAGAATAGGAATCCTAGTTGGAAAAGGATTCCAATGTAGTGTCTATAAATAGGGTCTCAATGTAACTATTTAGATACACAATTCAATAATATTTTTCTCATATATTTCTCACATCAACATTGTGTACTTAAAATGAAATCTTTGGTCCATTTAATATGGTTCATGAATTTTCTTGATTATGATAGCATTCATTCTATAGCAACACAATTAATAAAAAGGAAATGCTTCATCACTTCAGAGAATTGGCATGGTTATCAATTTTAAACCAAAAAAGTGTCTTGTAATTCAGGTTATACTTGAAACAGGCAAGATTAGAAGAAAATACAATTCTCAGTAAAATACACAACGATGGCCTGAAGGTTCACATGCCTCAAAGCTAAGCATATAATGCTAAGAAGAGTGCAAGTTAAGCGATTTACTAAATTCAAAGTAAAAAAGTAAAGTGGTTATTTTACCGTGGGGTACATTTGTAAACAATTAGCCCAATTTGTTTCCTGAAGTTTGAGTCATAGGAGGGTTAAACAACTTACTCCTTAAGTCCAAATCCAAAGTCCAGCATTAGTTTTCCTAATTATACTTTCCAAAGTACTCTAAACTCCTCATACAAGAATAATCACCACAGATTTTTTTGATAAAGATCATCAGTGTTCTATTTATTGATTTTACAGTAGCAAACTAGCAATTGCACGCATCCAAGACATTTCAATAAGTCTCTCCGCCCACAGATGTACTAATTGATAGAAAGCAGAGATATGCATGTTAATACTACTGTCCTCAAAACCCAGTAACCATTCTTTGGGTAAATTATTTTCAAGTGGAAGCTTTATAGTAAGTTTTGGTTAGACAAGTTATAATATGGCATAAACTTTAAACTAAAAGCAGGCCTCAAATGATTTTATTACAAAATATTAGGTATAATACTTTCAGTAAGCACACTTGTATGAATTATTTTTCTTAAGGGATTATCATTACCTATTTGATTCTCCAGGTATGAGGTGATAAATCTAGCTAATATAGTTCCTGACAGTATGCCAATTCATTGGTCTTTGAGGCTACAGAATCAGCTCTCAAACTGATATGAAGTGCATTTTCAACAGTATTTATCTTTGAAATGGAACTATTATTGTTACTAGACAATACTAGTTAACTCCATCAAAATGATGCTGAGGAAAAGATAGGAACTTGAAGTCTTCTACACCATAAGCAAAACTTAAAGTTAACGATCCCAACAATTCTATATTCTGGGTACTCAAAACTCCAAGAGAAGACATGGACAAACTCAGCAAATAATAAAAGGGCAGCCCGATACACTAAGCATCCGCTATGCGCGGGGTTCGGGAAAGGGCTGGACCACAAAGATCTATTGTATGCACTCTTACCCTGCCTTTTTGCAAGAGGTTGTTTCTACAGTTTGAACCCATGACATGGAGGCAACTTTACCAATTACACTAAGGGCCCCCTTCCAATAAACTCAGCAAATCCACAGAAAAATAAACTTTATTAATCTTAGTATTTAAAAGGAAAAAGAAACATCATTGACCCAAAATTAGTAAAAGGACAGATAAATTCATCAATCAATTACACCTCATTCACAAATTTGTTCGAATCAGGTATAATGTTATACAAAGAAAAAAAAGGAACATATAGGAGGAGAAAATCAATAGATAGACACGTACAAATTTAGGAGCATGAAGACCAAATCTGGTGAGACGTGGGAAACTTGCAGCAGTCCGTATGCTTCGAATAGCTCTTTTTTCTAAAGAAGGTAATTTCAGCTCTACTCCAATTCATATATTATTAGCTAACATCCACTTGCACAATAGAATATCATTCGTATTGACTATACATCAAAACAACAATCAAACATCCCCAGCAAGTCAATGATACAGATATAATCTACTTTTTGTCAATGAAAAATGAAGGGTTTCAATAACAAACAGAGTCAAATGATAATGGGAAAAGCCTCTGTTGGGACATATGTTCAAAAGGGAAATCCTCTGTACAATTGTTTCTTGGAGGATTCTGCCAACCTTCTAACACGTTTAACTCCTGTATAGTACTCCATCAATTCATGAGCCACATCTTCTGGATGGCAATTTATAAAGGCCTTGATGAACCGCTTTTCTGTCATCCTCATTGCTCTTAACAATGAAGGACCTTTCACTCGAGGAACCAGACCCATATCATCTAGCTTTGCCCCTAATAAATACCTTGGCTTTATGGCAGTCTCCAAATTTAAGAACAGCAAACACGGGTTATCTTGAACCAAATTTGCAGAAAGCTTCATTGTACCCAATATATAAGTCATGTTTCTCTGAACCTTATCAACAGACAATGTTAACAAAAATGGAGACCTTCCAAAAAGCCTAAAGACTTCATCTTCAGTAAACCCATGTTTCTCCAAATTAGCCACCTTCTGACGGATAGTCTCGGACCGCGAAATAGCAAACAACGCAACCACATGTTTATACATTGTAGTGCCCTTTTCCACACCGGTTCTTTGAATATAATCCATCTTCTCATCATCCAAAGAGGTTCTTGGTATCAGAGTTGGTCGAGCTAAAAGCATGGAAACTAACTCACTTCTGCTAAGACCCAATTGTTCATAAAATGCAACAATTGGTTTAATCTGTTTATGGAAGTCATAAGTAAGCAAAGACGGATTTCGAACAATGGCCTTAAGAAGAATTTCTTTAGTACCAAACAAAGTCTGGAAAAACTCAAGGCGTTCTTCCAAGCAACGATTAATCCGACAATCAAGGAAACGAGGACGGCAATTAATAATCCTGGTGAGATCAGAGGATGGTAAACCTAACTCACTCAGTATTTTGAGCTTTGAGTCAAGGAGTTTGAGTTCCATTCTTTGCAAAGACGGGCGCCGCTGAAAAATCTTGGAAATGTCATCTTCAGTGCAACCCCATTGCTTAAACAAATCTGCTGAGTCTTTGGGAGTACTACTGAGTTCTTCTTCAGTTTGGTCTTCTGGGGATTTTTCAGGAGAAGGCAAGACAGCAGCTACAGTGAGGAATCTGAATGTGTTAGGGTTTAAGGGATTTAGAGTTTTAGAATTGAAAAACAAGAAACGAAATTGGGTAAAAACATTGAACCTCGCTGCTTTCATTATTAGGGCAAAATGAAATCTGTAAGAATTTTGGTCAGAATGGAGGAGACGATCATGTACGTTCGGTATGAATTGGGCCGGGTACCCGATGTAGTTCTTTTGGACAAAGTGCACAAACAGCCTATTTTTAAGCCCCTATTTCAGACATAGCCAAAAGTTCCTATATTATTACAAGTTTAACCGCTTTAAATAAACTTCAGTTGGGATGAGTCTGAAGTTCAGACATAGGCAGGTGTGTTTACAACAACAACGTATCCACTGAAATCTACAAAGGGTATGTGGAGGATAGAGTGTACACCACCCTTCCCACTACCTCGTGAAGGTAGAGAGGTTATTTTCGAAAGATCTTCGGCTCGAGTACAACAAATCCAAACAATATAGAAACATAGTAACTACATAGTGAATAACAAAGTAGTAGGATAATCGAAACACATCAACCAACTGACAATGTGAGATGTCTAAAGTAAGAACTACAATAATACAACTAGTACAAAGTAAAGCAGTGCAAAACATATATGCAAGGTGTGAATCACCTAAACACATGAATAAGTGCTATTAGGTACCAAAAAGGCTAGTAATAAGACAACTCTTAACTGCCTACTAACTTTCTACCCTTATCCACGACCTTTATACCTTCTTATCTAAGGCCATGTCTAAGATGCGTCAAATCATGTCTAATCACCTCTACTCAATACTTCTTTGGATAGGTAGGTGTGTTTACTTTTCAATACCAGCATGTATTTATTAAGCTTCTCATTTTTCCTAGGGATGTTATTGAATGTGTTGAAAACATGTTGGATCATTTTGTTCATAGGATGAAAACTCTCTCATATGAGAGTGAAAAAGAAAAAAATGACTCATAAGTTAGCAAGATATTTAATTGTGAGTTTACTCTTATTGTGATCTCACATGTTATTTTTGCTCAAGTAGTACTCTTTTACAGTTCTCCAGAAAAAATCATTTCTTTGAACATTATTTCCAGGGATTTGCTTTATTATATCATTGAACAACATTTTTGTAGTTATTTTTTCTTTCGCGGAAAGTTTAGTAAACACTTCTGCTGGATTGTTTTAAGTTTTGGGTTATCAATATGAATCTTATATTCCTAATTCTATCCTTTATCTATGTTTCTTTTATCCTTTAGTGAATATTAGCGTACAAAATGTTTTGTTCTTTAGGTGGATTATATTGAATACGTTATTGTAAAATGTTTTGTTCTTTTTAGGTGGTTAGGATCTGATTTCGTTTGTGCATAATGTAAGATGGAAAAGTCCGGCTAATATGTCCAATGTTCGTGCTGCAATATGATGAGAGGTTATTCCTCCTGGAACAAAAGGATCAAAACCTTCCACGCACCCAAATTTGCAGGTTGTACTTTTCCCGTTAGTCCATAAGAATCAGACACCCATATCCCGGGACCATACAAACCTGTTTCATGAAATGCACCATAACCAAAAGAATTCCCAAGATCTTTGGCGAACTCTCTGTGCATACAAAGTTCATTTTTCGTGGATGAATCTAATTTAAAAAGTTTAAAAAAGAAAGAAAAAGGACAGAGGATATTTTACATTATTTCTTTATGTATTGTCTTGCATATCACAGGTCCACTATAATTCTCGACGTTAATCCATAGTCGCAGCTAATGTCATTTGGGTTTTACTTATTAACACTCATTACCATAAGATGAGGAAAATATTTTGCAGCAGCTTAGAGTTTTTATTCACTTTTGACTCTGAAGTCACTTCTAGTAGGGAAGTTTAACTTATTGAAATTACTGGTCTCTGTAAAATATTTTTATGTTCCATGTCCTCTTAACACAAATGTTGTTAATGGCTGTTGATGACATGGCCCTCAAATTCGCTCTAGCTAGAGCAAGAGCATTCCTCTACTGCTCATCAGAGCGTCATGTCCTAAATGTCTCCTCGTGAATACTCCTCTCTCTGCAGTTGCAATGCCCAGGCAGCATCCTCATCCTGGCTTGGTGGTAATTCTATACTTGTCCTTAAACTAATGTCTCCGTTTCTTGCTGGATTTTGATGCTGACCTTCTTTACTATTTAAATCTCCAGCTTCTTGTCTTGATTCTACTTCTTTTGGAAATAGTAGTTGAATTGTATTCCAAAGGACTGTGTTCACAGTGCAAGATCTTCCATTGCTGCAAAAATCATGTGTTACGATCACACATCAATTCTAAAAAGTTCTGAAATTTCGCAAACCTACAACAACATACTCAGTGTGATCGCACAAGAAGGTTTTGGGGAGGGTAAGATGTATGCAAACCTTACCCTACCTTTGTCGGGGTAGAGAGGTTGTTCGGATAGACCCACCCTCAAAGTTTTGCAAACCTCACATAAATAATTAGAGGTGTCATCTCTCTGTACATGTAACCTTTTAGCTTATAAGGCTAATCATTATTTTCTTATCAAATAAAATCTACCCCTTCAGCTTTATAAAAGTATTCAGAAATGCTAATATTATACTCACTCTATTTCAATTTATTTGTCTGGTTTTGACTTGATACGGAATTTAAGAAGGTAAAGAAGATTTTGAATCTTATAGTCTTAACAAAAGGTTCGTAGAATATACCAAAATGTCCTTTAATGTTGTAGTCTTAAACATTCACATAGAAAATTAAAATTAAAGAGTTTCCAAAAAAAGAAAGAGGACATTCTTTTTGAAATGGGCTAAAAGGGAAAGTAAGACAAACAAATTGAAACGGAGGGAGTACCTGATAAGCTGTCTGCACTTGGGGCATCGCATCCCACATATGTCTGCAGCAGATTGCAAACACTTTCTACAGAAACTATTATAGACAAATAAGTCAGAACATATAATTGGAAATTTCTTCTGAGTATTGTCGTATGAATCTGAGTTAATGTGAATGCCAATACCTGTGTCCACAAGGAGTGGTACTCGGTTCAAAACATATCTCCAAACAAATCTGCAAATACAATTGAACAACTCGAAGATGAAACTGGAAATGTCAATAAAAAGGCATCAGGATCCAAGACTGGACACTAAAACTCTTACGGCACAAGAAAGTTCTTCACGAAGTGGATCCATGCACAGAATCGCTGAACCAGAAGAGAAAACACAAGAGTCCTGTTCTTCAACTCCTTCCTTGTCTCCTTTTCCAGTGAATTTTTGCTCTTTCATTTCAGTTTCTGCTCAAAAGTGAAATGGAATTATTTTACTACTTGTAGCTTTGTAAACATGTTGAGATTAAGATTCTCATTAAATATTGTCCCTGGCTTCTATTACAGAACCTTAAATGAAACTTTAGTATTAGAGAACCTAAAAGTTTGTCTCAAATGGTTGAGGCTGAGAATGGAACAGTTCCAAAATTGAACCAAATGAATATTAAGAATTCATACAAAAGCCTCGCCCTATCAATATAGTCCCAGTTATCCCAGCAAGCCACCAACTAATTTGGGGAAGCAAAGTAGTACTCCAATGTCTCAATGTATGTGACACACTTTCCTTTTTAATCTATTCCAAAGAGAATGTCCTCTTTTTACTTTTAATGAAATAATTTATACTACACGAATAATCAAGGAGTGTTTAACACCATAACTTTCAGGGGGCTTCTTTTTTTTCTTAAATTTTGTGCCAAATCAAAAGGTGTCCTGTAAATTGGAAATGGAGTGAAGTAGCAGATTACTGGTTGTACATATTGGCAAATCATAACACCAAAGAATTCAGATTTGACAAAAGATAAGGAGAACCTGATTTTGCAGTGTTATCATCATCAAGATCAACAACAGCAAGGCCTACGGAAGCAGGGCTCGTCTTCTGAGCCCTTCGTTTCCTATAAAGATCAAAACTTTGAGAATTTCCAATTACCCTCATAAAAGAATCGCATCAAGTTCAATTCTACAGCAAAATTACCTTCTGGAATTCGTAGGTGGAGTCACAAAATGCTGCAAACCAGTAAGTTTCTTTTGTTTATGCTGTCGATCAGGAGTTTCTTCCACACCAAAACTAGCTATCAGAAGTGCCTCTTCGTCCCAACCCGCCATTGCAGCCATTGATTTGAATCTTGGGCTGAACAACTCCTCGCGTTTTTCTCCATTAACAGGACTCTTCTTCAACTCTTCATTCACCATTCTGTATTGAGATTCCCCTGTTTCTTTGAGGAACCTAACTTTGATTGCTCAGATTTGTAAGTAAATATTTATTTCAAATGAATTTATTTTGAAGTGTATTTACAAAGCCAAATGTTTAGTGTGTTGGAGAAGCTTTTTCTTACTAGGAAAGTTGGCAACTGAAAGAGAAGTATTGGCATTTTGAAAGTCCTTTGTGAGGACAACTTCTTTTGGTTAGTTTCATCTTTCTTTAATTAGCTTTCAATTCCATCTTTCAAATGCAATGAATAACAGCAACAAAATAATACTCCCTCCGTCCACAATTGTTTGTCAGGGTAAGGTCATGCACACCTCTCTAGGAAAATTTAATACAAGGTGTAATTTGACTAATATAACTCTACTATATCAAGAATACCAAAAGTTCACATACACTATCATTAAGGGCAGAATTGGAAAAAAATGACTAATTATTTCTTGATTGTTTAAATTGACAATTAATCTTGGACATCTATTTTTAGTATATCTGCCAAACAATTGTGGACGGAGGGAGTACTCTCCTTTTTTTCTGGCCTCTCCGCCCCTCTCTCTTTTAAACTTCGGTTAATTACAAAATTTGACTTTGTTCTTTTTTATTTCGCCACTAATAACTTGCTTGTTGATACTCCATTTTTTCTAATAACTTGTTCATTTTTTCTTTTTTAGTTGTTCCTAATTACTTGTCTATTTTGACAAATCAGAAAAGGACAAAAAAAATTTTTATCACTTGTCTATTAATACTCCCTCCGTCCAATAATAGTTATTCACTATACTGTTTTGGGATGTCCAATAATATTTGAGCACTTTATGAAATTAATGGATAATTTTATAATTAGTTTCTAATTTACTCTTATCATTAATTATAGTTTTTTCTTTATTACATTTTTCTAAACATTGTATTTATTATATTTCAAAGGGTGATATAGTAAAAATACTCTTCTATTTATAGTTTCTTAAGAAGTGTGCAAAGTCAAAAGTAGACAACTATTGTTGGATATGAGTTGTATATATTGTTCTTCAACCATTGTGGATAGTAGAAAATATATTTTCTTTTTGTGAGAATAGGGAGGCACAAAAAATCTATCTTCTAATTCTTCCGTCTATACTTAGTTATGATGGGTTTTCTTTTTAATCTTTGTTACATTTTGGCTTCTAGTTTTACACTAGAAGAGCTTGTTGAATCTTGAGAATCTTTAAGAACAATGTTCAACACGTCTAATGAAGTATTTTTCGTAAGATTTTCGTCAGTTTTAGTCTTGCTGTATTTAATACATTTGACCTTAGATTATATAAAAAACAAATGAGTTGAGTCCTCAATACATGCAAATTATGACCTCCCTAACTAATTCGTAAGCTATCCAAACTAGAGTTCTCAAAGACTTGAGTAGTTATGTCGTGCCATGAAGTCATTTTCATGTTCAATTTTAGAAATTCAATACTTGCATAATCACGAACCAATCGTGTTATATGACAAAAAAGTTAGTCATAACACGCGACATTTTGCAAGATTGAGTACTTTATTTTCCAACTAAACATGGTTCGTGAGGGGTGGAGGGTTGTGGGGTTAGGGGTGAAGGCAGGGACGGAGCTAGGTGGGGGTTCGGACGAACAACTTTTCCGTAGACCTTGTATTTGTATTAGAAAATTAAGTAAATATATATGTATTAACTTGTGAACCGCTAACAAAACTGTTGACAACTCAATGCTTAAGGAAAGGGAAGAAAATTTAGAACCCTCAAACAGCTAATATTGGCTCCGCCCCTGAGTGAAGATGGAGTGATTGTAGATATATCAAGTGTTGCATCTTGCATGTGGAGGTAATAAGCAGAATTCTATGGCGAAGTCAGTGATGGGCTGCTTTCATTATTAGGGTAAAAACATTGAACTTAGTTGCTTTCATTATTAGGGCAAAGACAGAGCAAAATGGAATCTGTAAGAATTTTGGTCAGCATGGGGAGACGATGTACGTTCGGTATGAATTGGGCCGGGTACCCGATGTAGTTGTTTTGAACAAACTGCAAAACTAGCCTATGTCAAGCCCCTATTTCAAACATAGGCAAGGTTCCTATTTTCTTACAAGTTTAGCCGTTTTTAAATCAATAGACTCGAGTTCAACAAATCCAAGTACAAAGAAGAAGGAAACAATGTAGAAACATAGCAACTACACGGTGAACAACAAGTCGTGCGATAATCGAAGCACAGGAAACAACTGACAATGCGAGATATCTAAAGTAAGAACTACAATAATACGGCTAGTACAAAGCAAAGTTGTGCGGAACATATATGCAAGGTGTGAATCACCTAAACACATGAACAAGTGATATCAGGAACCAAAAGCCTTAGACAACATGCATAGGCTAGTAATAAGACCAATCTTAACTGCCTACTAACCTTCTACCTTTATTCGTGACCTGCTACCTTCTCATCTATGGTCCATGTCCTCAATAGGCTGAAGATGCGTTATATCATGTCTAATCACTCTCTCCAATACTTCTTTGGATAGGCAGTCGTATTTCCTTTTCAATACTAACATGTATTTATTAAGCTTTACTTTCTCATTTTTCCTATCGATGTAATTGAATGTGTTGAAAACATGTTGGATCCTTTTGTTCATAGGATGCCAACTCTCTCATATGAGAGTGAAAAAGGAAAAACTGACTCATAAGTTAGCAACATATTTAGTTGCGAGTTTTCTCTAGGATGTAATCCCACGTTTTATTTTTTTTTCTCAAGTAGTCTTTTATAGTTCTCCAAAAACAAAATCATTTCTTTGAACAACATTACCAGGGATTTGCTCTATTATATGGTCGAGCACCATTTTAGAACTTAATTTTTCTTTTGCGGAGACTTTAGTGAAGAGTTTTGCTGGATTGTTCTCAGTTAGGGATTATCAATATGAATCTTATGTTATTGGCAGGCAGAATGTTTTGTTCTTTTAGGTAGTTAGAATCTGATTTCATATGTAGATAATGCAGTCTCACACACTTGTGTTTCATTGTATCATCAACATATTCATTGAATTCTCCGTGCATACAAAGTTCGTTCATAGGTGAATGAAATTAATTTAAAGAGTAAAAAAGTTCGTTCATTAGTGGCTCCACATTAGGAAATCTAACTCTATGTTCCTCTCCCTCTAACACGAATGTTTTTAATAGCTGTTGATGCCATGGCCCTCAAATTTGCTCTGGCTAGAGCAAGAGCATTTTTATACTGCTCGTCAGAGCGCCTTGTCCTAAATGTCTCCTTGTGCTCCTCTCTCTGCAGTTGCAGTGCCAATGCAGCATCCTCATCTTGTCTTGGTGGTGATTCTCTCCTTGTACTTGTGCTAGTGTCTCCATTTCTGCTTGACGTCCCAGAAGGCCTCACATTTCGTCTTCTCATAGAGTGAGAGTTCCTTTGTTGTGCACTTTGAGATCCAGAATCTGGACTATGTAACGCTAGGATCCTATCTATTCTGCTTCTTGAAATAGAGTGAAAGTTCATTTGCTGTGGATTTCGAGATCCAGAATCTGGATTATGTAATGATGCTAGGGCCCTTACTGTTCTGCTTCTTGAAACATTAGAATGACTGGCAACAATTTTTGCTGGATTTTGATGCTGAACTTCTCTACTATTTAAGGTTCCAGCTGCTTTTCTTGCTTCTACTTCTTTAGGAAATAGTAGTTGAATTGTATTCCAAAGGACTGTGTTTACAGTACAAGATCTTCCATTGCTGCAAGAATCATGTGTTAGGATCATCTCACATCAATTCTAAAAAAAGTTTGAAATTTTGCAAACCTCAAATGAATAATTAGAAGAATCATCTCTGAAAATGTGACCTTAAGATAGAAATTACAAGGCTAATCATTCTTTTCTTGTTTAATAAAATCTCCTCCTCCAATATTATAGTCCCTCCATTTCAATTTGTTGGTCTGGTTTAAGAAAGTAAATAAGACATTTGAATCTTATGGTCTTCTTAAGCTAAAGATATGTACGAATGTACGAAAATGTTCTTGAGTTGTCAAAAAAGGGAAGAGACATTTTTTTGAAACGGACCAACAAGAAAAGTAAAACAAACAAATTGAAATGGAGGGAGTACCTAATAAGCTGTCTGCACTTAGGGCATCGCGTCCCACATTTGTCTGCAGCAGATTGCAAACACTTTCTACAGAAACTATAGACATGATTGGGACAAATGAGTCACAACATATAACTGGAAATTTCTACTGAGTATTGTTGTATGAATCTGAGTTAATGTGAATGCCAATACCTGTGTCCACAAGGAGTGGTACTCGGTTCAAAACATATCTCCAAACAGATCTGCAAATACCATAGAACAACACTCTAAGATGAAATTGGAAATGTCAATAAAAAGGCCATCAGGATCCAAGAATGGACACTCAAACTCTTACAGCACAAGAAAGTTCTTCACGAAGTCGATCCGTACACAGAATGGCTGAACCATAAGAGGAAACACAAGAGCCGTGTTCTTCTGATGCTTCATCTCCTGCCTTATCTCCTTTTCCAGTGAATTTTTGCTCTAGCTTCTTTTTCTCAGTTTCTGCTCAAAAGTGTAATGAATTTTTTTTATTACTTGTAGCCTTGTAAGTTGTAACATGTTGAGATTAAGATTTACTCATTGGATTTTGGGCTATTAGAGAACCTTAAATGAAACTTTAGCATTAGAGAACCTTAAGTTTGTCTCAAATGGTTGAGGCTCAGAATGCAACAGTTTCAAAATCGAACAAAATGGATGATAAAAATTCATACAAAAGACTCGCCCTATCAGTTTAGTCCCATTTTTTTCAGCGAGCCACCAACTAATTTGGGGAAGCAAAGTAGTACTCCACTGTCCAAATTTATGCGACATGCTTTCCTTTTTAATATATCCCTAATGAAATAATATATAGTCACACAAACCGTGAGGAATGTTTAAGACTACGAATTTCAAAAGTGTTTTCTTTTTCTTAAATTTTGTGTCAAATCAAAAGGTGTCAAGTAAATTGGGATTTGAAAAAAGATGAGAGAACCTGTTTTTGCAGTGTCATCATCATCAAGATCAATAACAGCAACACGTATGGAAGCCGGGCTTCTCTTCTGAGCCCTTCGTTTCCTAGAAAAAAACATAAATTTGAGCATTTCCAATCACCCAAATAGAAGTATTTCCCAGAATTTAATCAGATAAAGTTCAAT